GAGGAGAAACACTGAGGGGAATCTGCGGAATGTTGCGAGGGCCGTCTCTGGGCCGTCTCTGGGCCGTGACGGCCGGCGCCTGCTGTTCGGGTTGTGTGAGTGTGTGTTTGGGTTGGGGTTTTGTCTGTACGCTTCTTCTGACTTTTCCACAGGAGGCATTATTAATTTAATATTCTAACATGAAATGTTTCATCAAAAATATCAACTAGAGGAGGAGAAAAGATAAAGCCAGTAAGAGAAAAATAGGGCATGTCCCACCGAGGACGGGGGACTGGGGACCTTGTGGGTCACTGGGGCCTTGTTCCACTCAAGGCTGCCACCCAGGATAATACTGAATAACAACAATAACAACACAAGCGGAACGGATTGAATTCCACACACGGTCCAGGCAAGGGGGACCATCACCATCCCAGTTTCACTAACGAGGAAACCGAGGGGAGGGAAGTCGCTTTGCTTCTGGCCGCCCAGCCTAAGTGTTGGCACCAAGCTTTGAACCTGGATATGTCAGACTCCGGAACCCATTTCTTGTTTTGTTATCCTCACCCGAGGACATGTTTGCATTGATCTTCAGATAGAGCGGGAGGGAGAGAGGAAGGAAGAGAGAGAAACATCGACGTGAGAGAGACACATCGACTGGCTGCCACCCACAGGACCCCAACCGGGGCTGGGGACAAACTGCAATCGAGGTACGTGCCCTTAGCGGGAACCGAACCCGGGTCTCTGGTCTGCAGACCGGCGCTCTAACCGCGGAGCAAACCGGCCAGGGCAGAACCCATTTCTTAGCCACTGTCATCAGTGCCTTTTCAGGGGACGATGGCAGCAACCGTTACAGATGAGACAGAAGTGGAACTAACCAGGGGCCGGGGATTGGCTGGAGGAGAAGGAAGCGGCCTCAGCCAGACATGAATTTGGGCAATAGGACTGCCAGATAAAATGCAGACACCTAGCTAAACGTCGATTTCAGATCAACAATGGATACACTTTTAGTTTAGGTGGCTTTCCCCCTACAGTATTTTGTGCAGCAGGAATGATGGCCTCACTGACCCTCCCTCACCCGACTCTTCATCCAGGACCAGCCCATGCTTACCTCCTCCAGGCAGCCTTCTCTGATACGCTCCAACCCTCCGGGTTTGCCCATGCAATATTTGGGACATACTCACACTAAAAATTATTTTACAATTTTCTGAGATTCAAATTTAACTGGGCAGCCTACATTTTCCCAATTTTATTGAGTTGTAATTGACAAGCAAAAAGTACATATTTTTAAGTGTACAATGTGCTGGTTTACTATACATATACACTGTGAAATGATCACCACAACAAAGCTAGTAACACGCCCATCACCTCACAGAGTCAGTGTGGGTGGTGAGGACACCTAAGATCTGCTCTTCTTGCCCAGCCGGTGTGGCTCAGCGGGTTGAGCGTCGTCCCGTGGACTGAGAGGTCCTGGTTCGATTCCCGGTTGGGACACATGCTAGGGTTGCAGAACCAATCCCCAGTGTGGGGCGTGCAGGAAGCACCAATCGATGTTTCTACCTCTCTCTTCCTTCCCCTCTCTCTAAAACATCTTTTAAAATCAATAAAAAACATTTTTTTTTTAAAGGATCTGCTCTCCTAGGGAATTTCAAGCAGCCAATCCATCCAGGAGCATTAACTACAGTCCCCGTGCTGCACGTTGAGTAGGTATGAGGTGAGTAAGTTCTGGGTGTCCTGTGTTTTATTTGCTGAATCTGGCAACTTAGGGGGCCTGTCTGTAGCAATTTCCATTTTGGGGGGGCATTCCCTGACCAAATTCCCTTACTGAGACTGCACCTGGACTGCACAGTCCCAGAAAACTCGCCCAGGCTCGTATCAAAGACCAACGAGTCTGACTTGGTTTCGCTGTGAGAGGACCCTCCCCGATCCGTGCCAGGTAGCAGAAAGAGAACAAAGGAATACCGCACCAGTTCCCACAAACCAACCGGTCTAAGAAACACAGCCCCCGGGAACACAGAAAAGCACGACCACTCCAGAGGCCTCCTGGACATGGCCCAGGCTGCAGCGGCTCCGTGTGCAGGCGGTGGACACGCAGGCCGGGCTGGAGCGCACGGGGCCGGCCTCCTCCCCGAAACAACAGGAACACACACAGCAGCCCTCTCGCCGAGCCAAATGGACGCACGTGGCCGAAACTCATGAAACGGATGAGAAAGCCAGATGCGGGCACAGCTTTTCATCCTCGGCCATCAGGGTCGAGGTGTGGGCCCGAACCCCCCCTCCCCCGCCCGATCATGGGAGAAAGTGTACGAAAGAGAACATAGCGCAGATCCCCCCCAGTGAGGGGGGCATCAGAAAGGAGAAGGGTGGATCAGCCCCGAATTTAAAGATGGGGGAGTCCCACCCACTTACTCCATCCCACCCCACCCCCTGCAGACTCCACTGCAGTGGCTCTCAACTCGGGGTCCCTGGACCAGCAGCATCGGTGACACCTGAGAACTTGGGAGAAACACATATTCTCAGGCCCCGCCTCAGACTGGCAAGTCTGTGGACAGTACCCAGCAGTGTGTGTGCGTGTATGTGTGTGCACTTGTGCACGTGAGTAACAGCTGTATCAGGGTGTAGTTGGCAAAGGATAATTGACTCGTCTTCACAATATACAACCTGTGAGACCATCACCACAGTGAAGAGGTGGACGTATCCGTCACCCCCTAAAGTTCCCTTTCATAATCCTTTCTCCCCTCTCCCTGCCCCCCACCAATCTCAGACAGCCACTGACCTGTTCTCTGTCTCGGTTTTTTGAGAGGTTCACATGTATAAAATCATACAGCGTTCTCTCCTTCACCTGAGGTTTTTCACTCGGCGCGCCTTCTTCGAGAGCCACTGTGTTCTCGGATATATCACTAGTTCATTCATTTTTACTGCTGAAAAGTATACTATCTTTATGACTGCTTCACAATGTAGTCATCCGTTCACTTGTTAACAGACATTCTGGTAGTTTCCAGTTTGGGGCTACTCCAAATAAAACTGCTATGATTTCAAGCAAAGGTTCTTGTATGGTACACACTGTCCCTCTTCTGCATAAAGTCCTAGGAGTGGAGGAATGTGTCTATGGGAGGTGTGTGTTTAACGCTCAAAGGAACCATTGTCCAGAATGACGGTCCTACTTCACACCAGCTGTGATGAGAGTTTGTTACCCCACGTACTCACCAGCACTTGGTGCGATCAGTCTTTTTAAATGGATTCAGACTAGCCCCACCGGTGTGGCTCAGTGGTTGAGCATCGACCCATGCACCAAGAGGTTGCAGGTTCGATTCCTGGTCAGGGCACACGCCCAGGTTGTGGGCCCGATCCCCAGTGGGGTCATGCAGGAGGCGGCCAGTTGATGTTCTCTGTCATCAATGTTTCTATCTCTCTCTCTCTCTCTCTTTCTCTCTCTCTCTCTCCCTTCCTCTCTCTCTAAAGTTCAATAAAGAAAAAAATTGTTTAAAAAATAAATGGAGACCGACTAGTGATCGGGCAGTGGGATTGCGCTGTGGCTTTAGTCTGAATTTCTTTGACGACTAATGACGTTGAGCGTATTTTCCAGTGCTCATTTGCCACCCACGTATCTTTGTTGGTGGCGTGTGTGTCGAAAATGTTGAAATCGTTTGCCCGTCTTTTTCACTGGGTTGTGTTAGGTATAATGCTGAAAGGCATTTATATATTCTGGATTCAAAACCTTTATCAGATATATGATTTGCAAACATTTCCTCCCAGCCTATGGTGTGTATTTTCATCATAACAGTGAATTTCAAAGAACAGAGGTTCTTCATTTTGATGACGTACAATTTCTCAGTTTGTTCTCTTATGGGCTCTGCTTTGGTATCACATCTAAAAATCTTTGCCTAACTCAAGGTTACAGAATTTTTTTCCTATTTTATTTTAGAAATGTTATGGTTTAAGTTTTACATTTAGGTCTATGATCTATTTTTTGTTAATTTTCATATATAATATGAGGTTATGGATTCAGATTCTTTTTTGTTTCTTTTGCATGAGGATATCCAGTTATTTCAGACATATATGTTTGGAAAATGCTTTGGTGTGGAAATTATCTCTGCTCCTTTACCAGGTGAACTCCTACTCATCCCTCAAAACCCAGGTCAAATGTCCCCTTGGCTAAGAAGCCTTCCCCCAACTGAAGCCAAGTAGTTCTTTCTTTCAACTACCCTCTGATCTCCACAGCATCTTGTGCAACCTTTGCTATATTCGTATCTCACATTAGCACATTACTTCCCGTGTCTTTCTCTCCTGCTAGAGCAAAAATTCATGGACGAGGACCACAACCCCAGCACTTATCACGGACCTGCTATAGATGTGAGGGTTGGGGGATGGGAAGGGGGTGACTCAGAAAACAATTGTTAAAATACAAAAAAATAAATAAAGGATAGACACACAAGGGGAAAAACTGGCTTTTTTAAACCAGTTTTTATTGAACCCTGCTCTGTTCAGATTGAACACCATCTCTCAATGTCCTACTCAAAGGCCACAGCCTCCAGGAAGTCATCTCTGACTGCGCCTACCCCCGTTACTCATCAATAATGTTTACTAAGAGTACCTGATTGAATGAGTCACTGATTTAGGCCAAGCCCTGTCATTTCATTCCATCCTCACCACAAACCCGTGAGGCAGATACAACTGCTGGCATTATTTTACAGAAGGGGGCACAGATGTTCGGAGAGGTTAGGTTCCATGCCTGAGGTCACATATCTAACAAGTGTCAGAGCTGGGGTTCGAAACCAAAGAGCCTGTCACCAGAGTCCCCATGCTCACCTTTATGTACACCACCTCCTGGTTCCTTTATTGTATGTCCCATTTCCTGACAAGCCCAGACCCTACAAAGGCACCTCTCCCTCCCCCACATGACCAGCCCTTGCCAGGAGACCCCTCAAAGGAGACAAGTCACATAGGAGATCCCTCCATCACCCTCCCATCCTGGCCACGGGGCCGCAGACACCCTCAACACCGCAGAAGGACCTCTTCCTTACCTTGGACCAAATGCCCATGCCGAAGGAGCTGCTGTCTGCCATCTGGTGCAGGCACAGTTCCGTCCTAGAAGCAGAGCAGGGGTCAGAAGTAAGGGAGTGTCTGCCCACACCAGCGGCCTGGCGGGGCAGGTGGTCACCGTGGTGTGGGCTCCACACGATGCCCCAGGAGGTCCCAGTGTCCCTCCCAGGCCCTGAGCCCACCTCCTGAACCTTCCTCACTCACGACCCTCACTCAGCCCTTGCTCCGTGCCAGGAAACGCCGGAACAAAGAGTCATGGACTTCAATCAGGGAAGCGGGTTCTAACGCCAGGTCCCCTACGGACTCGATGTGTGAACTTGATCAAGGATGATATTGGACCAGTCACCTTGAAGGAGTCCTTGCTGTATGCTAAGTTCTGAGGTTACTCAGCCCTGCCCAGTGTTCCCCTGTCACAGATGACAGAACAGGGGCACTGAGGAGTTAGCATCTTGCCCGCTCAGCTAGCAAACAGAGCTCTCCTCCCACCCAAGCCTCCTCTGGCCTCTGTCACCAGCCCAGCAGGTGACATGACGTTTAAGGCCTCGGTGGGTTCCTTAAGAGGGAGGCCTGAGGCTGGGCTCCAAACCCCGAAGACCAGAGGAATGCAAGCCGGGGGGGGGGGGGGGGGAGGCCACGCCCCCAGCCCTCTCCAGGCCCACCCACAAACACAGCATGGAGCCCAGCTTCAGACCCCACAACCCTCCAGGCGGCGCATCTTGGTTCCTGGGAAGGGGAACTCTCACCAGTCCCCAGCCAGTTTCTCTAATTCTGGGTCCGTTAGTGCCTTCGCCCCTAGTTCTCTGCCGACCCCACACCCCTGGCCTGTCTCACCCCCAGGAAGGACCTTGTCAGAAAGACTTTGAGCCCAATCCCAGCCCTGCCACTTAGCAGATAAGGCGGTTCTGTTCCCTGAGCCTCCGACGAGCTCGCCTGTGAATGGGCATTCTCTCACGAGCTTCGCGGGGTTAAGTGAGATACTACACACACTCCCAGGCCGGCCTGGCACCGTCGGTGCCCTGTACTTGTGTCCCCTGCACTTGACCTGATCTGTATTCCAACAGTTGGAAGTTCAACTTGACAAATAATTAAGGGGCGTCTATCCAGTGCCCAGCCCCATGTTAACACTGGGGAGGCAGAGAGGAGTAAGGCAGGGCAGGGCCCCTGAGTTAAAGATCTCATGGTCGGCCCTGGCCGGTTTGGCTCAGCGGTTAGAGCGTCGGCCTGCGGACCAGAGAGTCTCGGGTTCGGTTGCCGCTAAGAGCATGTACCTCGGTTGCAGTTTGTCCCTGGCCCTGGTTGGGGTCGTGTGGGTGGCAGCCACTCGATGTGTCTCTCTCACATCGATGTTTCTCTCTCTCTTCCTCCCTCTCTCCCTCCTGCTCTATCTGAAGATAAATGCAAAAATGTCCGCGAGTGAGGATAAAACAAAAAGATATCATGGTCAGTCTAGTGAGGAAGAGAGACCCAGCCCCCGCCCCCCCCCGCGCGCCCCCCCCCCCCCCCAGTGACGAACCAGGAATCAGGAGCACTCCTCTAAGACGGGATTCGGAGGAGGGTTTTGAAGGATGACTAGGAGTTTGCCATATAAATACAGGGGAGAAAGGAAGGGCATTTGTGGAAGTGGAAGCCAGTCTTTGCCCTGCGGATGAGGGGACAGCCTGGCAGCAACAGAGGTAAAGAAAGGGAGATGGCCTGGGAGACCACTAGAGAGCCCCCAGCACGACCCTGACCTCCGAGGGGTCTGAGTTGTTCTAAGCACTTTTCTCCACTCTCCCAGGGCCTCTGAAACGCATCTGGGGCGGCCCCATCCTCTCAGACGCAGCTTTGCCCTGGCTCCTAAGGATGCCATCCCTGCCTGGTCAGGCCCACCGACACAGCTGCCTGGCCTGGGCTGGGCCTGGCGTGGAGCCCTGGAGCCCTCTGCCGGCAGCTGTCCTTCCTCTGCCCACCCCACAGGGAACCCCCTCCAGGCCCAGAACCGAGCGCCACGCAGGGGTGCAGACTGACAACCCCAACGTGGGGTCACCGGGGAGGTGCGCCTGCCCGTCAGTGTTCTGAGAGGTGAGGATGAGCTGGGGAGAGGATTCCAACTCCACCTGCAGACCCGTGTATGCTGCTCTCCTGTGACCCACCCTACTACACACCACACATGGGGCCTGCTGCCTGGACACGTGAGCTGGTGTAAACGCCCACAGGCTGGCACTGTGGTATCCATGCCACAGAAAGGGAAACTGAGGTTCAGAGAGGACCACATGGGGCAAAGCCTGGATCTAAACACACATCCCTCCGTCTCTCGAGTCAGTCCTTTGCAGAGCACACCTGTCAGGACCCAAGGGGGCTATCCGCCCGGAGGCCCTCGGAGGTGAGTCTCCCTGGCTACCCTGCCGGCCACTCCGCCCAGCGCGCCCTTGTTCTGAGGTGCCTCGTTCAGGCAAACGCTCAGGTGCACTCGAGGCCCCCACAAACATTTAACAACTTCTGGGAGACTTGGGGTCTGCTGTCTGGCCCTCCGCCACGCTGCTGTCGGCCTGGGCTGACATGTGTCCGTCACATCAGACAGCCTCGGCCACCCCCCAGCATGCATGAAGAGCTAGCTACGTGTGCACACTCTGTGAGGTCAGTCACCCTGTCTGTCAGCCAGGGCACCGTCCCCACTTTCCAGAGGACAAAACCGAGGTTCAGAGTGGACGACACTTAGCCAAGTTCACCCAGCCCGTGAGCAGTGCCAGGCCAGGTTCCTGACCCTGGGTGCCACCGCCCCTCAGCTCCGGGCAGAGCTCGGGCTGGGTCCCTGGACAGCGGCTGCCCTTTGACTCGCTGCCCTCAGCAGTGCCTGCCTGGCCCAGTCACTCACCGGAGATCCAAGTCCAAGCCCGCCAGCATCTGGGAGAAAACCTCGAAGTTGCCTTCCCCTTCCGGCTGCCGGGCCACGCGGCTCTTCTCCAACAGCATTGTCTGCAAGAGGAGAGGACTTGGGGTACATCGGCCCCGTGCCTGGTGCCCAGCTATCCTGAGGCCCCGGGAGGGCACGCCACCTGGGCCCACCCTTTGGTCCAAACTCTGCTGGGCACCTTGGTATCGAGACCTATCAGCCCTTTGTCTCACTAATTCAAAGTCCGTCTAGGGCTCAGCTCATGCAATGGACTTGTCCAGTGAAGGCCTCTGAACGGAAGAAGCTGACCCAGAGCCACCCTCCAATATTCTTATTTCACAAGCGCCGTTAGTAGCTTGACCCAAACGGTCACAATTGGTAGGGTTCCAGGGCCAGCATGGAAAGGGACGTACTGGGCGCTGGTGAGTTTTCCTTGAGTCTGCACATTTTCCCAGCTCCCCGTACGAACAACGCTTCCAACCAGCTAATCCTATTTTCTGTTCAAACAGAGTGTTCGAGGGGCGGGTGGGGGGGGGTGATCTGGGAGATGGGGACAAGCAGGCGTGTGCTTGTCACACACCGATGGCCGTGGAAGGCTGGCAAGCGTCTGTTTCATTTCAGTTTATGCTTCTAAGACCCAACTAATGAGCGGCTGAATTATATATTTATTCATGAATATTTCATCCCCGTGATAGTCAGAGGTGCAGACCGGCCAGCTTGCTCGAGGGAGGGACTTTCTGGGCCACTGCGCAAGGTGGGGAGGGGCTGGCAACAGCTAGGGGAACGATGACATCTAGATGCGTCCAGGGCCCAGGAGGCTTGGGCTCTGCTAAGTGGGGCTAGGGATCCTGTCGCCCCAAGGACACCCCTCTCCCTTCCACCCAGAGGCCTCACCTGGAGCTGAGCTGCTGTGACACGGCCTGTGGCATTGAAGTCCAGTGACATCACCATGGTGAACCGGGTGGCGCTGCGGCTGTGGCCAGTGGACACAGAGCCAAAGGCCCGGAGAAGGGTGAAGGTGGCTCGGATCTTCTCCACTGTGAGGACGCAGGGCACAATGTCACCCATGGCCTGGCTACTGCCACCCTCACCTCTCCAAGGACCACCTCCTTCACTGGCCCCAGGCCCGGGCGGGCTCCTTGCCACCTCCTCAGTTCAACTCTAAACCACACACATTTCAGTGCTCGCCTGGCCCTATGCTGCAAACAGGGGCGCAAGGGGAGCAAAAGAGTCAAGAAGGGATGGGCGCCACCTGGGTGGCAGGGCTGCCCAGCGGCCTCTGGGCCTGATGGAGCCTGGCGGAAGGCAGGGCATGAACACTCTCAGATCTGCTCTCAGGGGATTGCTCATCACAGTGGGCTTAAAAAGCCCTGCAGTCTCCCTGCAACTATGTATCGAGCACCTACTCTGCATCAGGCATTGGACTCGGCACCTGGATACAGCCTAGCCTGACTCCCACCCTCAAACACACTCGCCCACAGCAGAACGACATTTTAGGAAAGCAAAGATGGGCACCTCTCCCTGCTGTACCCCCAGCCCCTGCCATGGGCCAGGGGTAGACAGGTGATCATAGAGCGCTGGAATAACCCCACAGAAAGCAGCAGCGCACAGTCATTAAGCAAGTTTGAATACTGTCCTTTGCTAGTGACCTGATTTGGGGCAAATGAACTAACCTCCCTGTGGCTCAGACACCCCATCTGGAAACTGGGCGTGATAACACTACTGACCTCAAGCAGGTGTCATGAGCACTAAAAGACTGAATGATGCCAAGTGCTCAGCACGTGCTCCCAATGTGCTGGTGGTGGTATTATATGTATCAACCAGAAAAGCTCCGTTGCCCAGGCCCCCAGGCCGTGTATTCTCTGCAGGGAGAAGACTACCCCTGAGAGGACAGAAACTGATTCTGGGCATGGGAGGAGTTTTGCTTTCTTATGTACAAAGCACAGATAAACATACATAAACAGATTAGGGCACATCTATGGCATTGAAATTTCATGGTGGGGAGATGATTAGGGGACAGAATGTTTTTTTAAAAAAAACGCCTTAAAGGAACAAAAAAGAGAGAGGAAAGAAAAGAAGAAAACGCAGAGAACACCGGCCCAGGGTCACAGCTCCGGAGCCAGGCGGCCTGGTTTCTGGGTGCATTAGCCGCGTGGCCTCAGGCTAGCTCATTAATTTCTCAGAGTCTTAACATCCTCAGCTATAAAATGCAAGTAAGTAGCAGCTACCTTATAAGGCTGTTGTAAATAACAAATAAGCTTAAACCCGGTGTTGGCTGTGATCACTATTAATATTGTCATTGTTATTATTACTGGATGGCACTCTTTAAGTGCCTTGCTCAGACTTCATCCCCCCAGGCAGCCCCCCGTCCGGGCTCTGGCCACCGCCACCCTGACCAGCTCTGCCTGAGCATGCAGGACTGGCACCTGTGCCCTCTGGTTGTCAGCTCCTGGAGAACACCCGCCACGCCCTCTGCACCGCTGAGCAGGCTGTGCCCTGCACGGGCCACCACCTCAAGGGGCCTCTGTGTCTGCCTCCCACTGTCCCAGGTCTGTCTATTTATTAGGATGATTTTCTAGAGCATGGCGGCCGCGTGTTCAGTTCTAACGGTGTCAGTGTAGGGTGACCGCTCCATACACGGCTGGGAATGTCCCGAGGCAGGGGCGCCTGTGCCCAGAGCGCTCAGAGGTGCCCAGTGGACGGGCGGCCTGCCCAAGCACAGGGGCACGCTGAGTGAATGCTAGGTGAACAGACAGGAGGAGGGGCAGCCCAGCGCTCCCTCCAACTCTCCCTCTCCCTGCCCACAACCCTGCCGCGTGTCACCTGGAGAACACTGTACCTGAGACACTGCCATCCACACTGCCTGCCATCCCCACCAGGTGCTCCAGGACCTGCTCACAGCAGGTGGTCTTCCCAGCGCCACTTCGACCCAGGGCCACGATGCTCTGGTCTCTCCGCTGGCTCAGCAGTGCCCAGTATGCCCGCTGGGCCAGGGAGCCAATGTGGGCAGGCCGGCCATCCCGGCGGCCCTTGGCTACCTGCAGAAAGATCCCAGACGTCAGCCTTCCCACCCCAGCTGGTGCCCAGGGAGCCCACCCCAGCCTCAAACCCAGACCCCTGTGTCCTTGCCACCCCTCCTTCTCCAGCCTTGTCAGAGAGGTCTCACATTTTACTGGGCAGAGCCCAGCCTGGGCATCTAGTCCTGTGCCTGGCTTACTGTGCAGCTATGACCCTACTCTGACCCTGGGTCTCCTCTTCAGCTAGTGGGAGGCTTGCACTAGAGCTTCGTTAGCTCATGAGGCTCATCTCACACACTCCTCAAATTATTAGACAGTACCTGCCTGGAATGAAGCAGTTGAATGAAGCGGACAATCGATTAGTGATGCCTGCTATGGAAACAGAATTGGCCACGGGGCACGCGTGCTATGTATTTGCTATAACACATTTAGGTAATGCCTGAAGTCCCTTTCACTTCGTTTATTCATTTATGCATCCATTCATTCTTTATTTAATAATAATTTTTTTAAAAATTGCTGAGCATGTGTTCTGTGGCAGGCTCTGTCCCCAGCACTGAGCCACACACTACATGAAGGATAAAAGAATTCTCAGCCGTGAGGAGCTGCCATCATACACCTGTACAATGGCTTAATGTGCGTTAATTTTAATTTTTATTTTTAATGCTTACTACCAAGTTCTTGTGAAGATGCAGGGCAACTGGAATCCTCACACAATGCTGGCGGGATACTAAATGGTACAGTCACTCCGGAAATGGGCAGTTTCTGACACAGCGAGATACACACACATCACAGAACCAGGCACCCCCACGCCGAGGTGTTCACCCAAGAGGAAGTAACATTTATATTCACAAAGGAAGCTCAGTCATTGAGTATACTGAAAACATATTCAAAATCCCCAAAAACTAGGAACAACCCAAATGTCTTCAACTTAGGGAACGAGGGTAACCAACCATCCTGGTTTTGCATAGACAGTCTCATGTCCCAGAAAACGCCTGTGTCCCCAGGACACCAGCAAGACTGGTCCCCCTATGAATGAACAAATGAGCCAGAGCAATAAAATATAATAAAATGAAGAAACAAACAGCTGGCGACGCAGCAATAAAGGTGAATCACAAATGCATTGTGCTAAGTGGAAAAAACCGATTCGAAAGGTCACATCCTGTACAGTTCCATTTACGTGACTTCTCAGAAAAGGCACCGCTTCTATATAAGGACTGTCAAGGGCAGGACATGGGAAAGGGGACAGCTACCAAGTGTCCGGAGAACTTTTGGGGGTGATGGGCCTGTCTGGTCATTGATGGTGGAGGCGGTTACACACCTATCCATACACGTCCAAAACTAAACAGAACTGAATGCCAACAAGGATGGTTTAAACTGTGTAAATTACACCTTAATACACCTGATTTTTTAAAATAATGATGAAAAATAAAAGCCCTGCCGGTGGGGCCTGCTTTCTGCCGGGAAAAGACGGATGATAAAGAGAATAATTACATTGTGTCAAACAGGAATCACTTTGAAGCCATGAGCCTAGAAGAGGTCACCAAGGAAGTGGGTGTTGAAAGAGGGAAAGGTGTGGGGACAGGCCCTGCACCTGGAGAGGTCAGGGACCAGCGAAGGAGGCTGAGAAGGGGGGCCAGGGGACAGGAGCCGAGGAAGAGGGGGAGGGTCGGCTGCCCAGGGCCGCTGAAGGTCAAGTCAGAGGAGACAGGAGAATGGACCACTGGCCCTGGCAGCATGACGCTCACGGTGACCTTGACAGAAGTCGGCCTTGCGTGGCCTTCAGGGGAAAGAGCAGAGGCCGTGGAGAAGGGAGGTCACTGGACGAGCGCCAAAGGGAACAGCGGAACGGGCCCGGCTGGAGGAGGACATTGGGAGCCAGGGATGCCAAGCGGGCACCCAGTGGTCCCGGCAAGGACTCAGCTGTATCCCCAGTGCCTTGGTCCGACCGGGACACAGATCCGACGTGGTGGTCCTCCCCCGGCCTGGCCCTCCGCCTGGGCCTGAAGGTGCGTCCAGTACACTGTCGGTCTTTCTGCCCCCGAACCTCTGGGAATAGCAGTGCATCCCTGTCCTGGGCCCAGCAGGACCTCACAGTGGGCAAAGGTGGGACAAGCCCCACACTGACTGGGCACAGCCTCAGGTCATGAGACAGGCAAAGGGTCCGGGGCTCTGAGTCCTGAAGCCACCTCCTCCGAAACAGTGACGTTCAAGGGACAGGCCATCTCCTCCATTGGCTCCCTCCCGCCCACTGTCCAGAGGACAGAAGGGAGAAGTCTGCCGGTCCAGGCCCCTGTGTACACACACACCCTTGCTTTGGTGCACGTGTGCCCTTCCATGCTTGCACACGGTCGTGCTCACGGACACGTGTGCCCCACAGTTGCCGAGGCCCCACACGCAGGGGCAGGCCCATCTACACCTGACACGGCCACACCCACACTCACACCCACGCAGACCTGCACACACACTCTGGCACATACCCAGCTCCGACTCTGGATGGGCCCAGAACTGCCCTACACCTTCCCCGGGCCATCTGCAAGGCGGCCCCAGTCCCAGCCTCACTGCAGGTCTGTGCTGCCCCCTGGTGGCCATTTGAGGAACCAGACGTGACTCAGACAAAGAACGGAAGGTAGCTGTGGGTTTGGGTGTGGGCAGCGGATGACTGGAGGGCAGGGTGGGGCACCGGGCTAAGGGCTTAGGGATCAGGGGACGCAGGGGCACAGGGGAGCTCAAGAAAACGTCCTCCCTACGGGGCATGACCCAGCGCCGGCCCTTTGCGGCCCTTTGCGGCCCTTTGGCCCAGGTTCCGAAATGGACGCCTCAACCCAGGACAGCCTGAGAATCGGCCTGCCTTAGGGGTCTGTGCGCAATATCCCCCCAGGGGCCCCTAAGGAGCCGAGCAGCCACCAGCCTCTCAGAAGGCCCAGCGGCCTTGGGCTGCAGTAACAGAAGCACAGTCCCCACTGCAAGGGAGCGGAGAGGGCACAGGCCGAGCTGTCATCCCCAGGCCCCTGGCCGTGGACAGCCAGGCTGGGGAGGGGCCTGAGAAGCAACTGAGGGGTGGAGTGGCAGGCCTTGAGAAATCTCGAGGAGGGGGTTCAGGCTCACCACCCCCTCTTTAATGGACTTAGCATTGTTTGGGGGCAGAGCTAGGGATGTCCCTCGGGACTCTGGAGGGCTTGTCATCCTCAACTGACAGAGGAGAGAACTGAGGCCGGAGACGAGGTGATCTTTCCGGGGCACCCGCAGCGCGTCGGCAGGTGTCAGGCCTGGGCCACCCAGACCAGCGTGTCTTCAGAACAGACCTCGGACCTCTAATGGCCACACTCACACTCCCTGCCTACTCCTCTGCCCCCTCGTCTCCCCTCACCTGGCAGCCAACGGCACCCTCTCGCAACAGACCGACCACGTCCCTGCTCTGCTAAAAACCTCCACCAGGCTCGCAGGAAAAGCGAGGTCACTGTGACCCTGTATAACCTCACGCTGCTCCCCACTGCTCCCAACCTCCTCGCGCTCCTTCTCCACACTCCTCTGCTCCACCCACTCTCTCTTTATTGTCTTTGGCCTGTCTTCCCCATAGAACGAAGCTCCGGGAGGCAGGCGTATGGCCCGTCTCCGGCCCCGCTCTTCCCTCCGGGCCTGGCGGATGGGCGACCGAAACCCTCGCTCAGTGAAGAGCCCAGAGTGAAGGAAAGGCAGCGGACTCGAATTACGCCGTCGTGGCCGGGCCTCTCCACACGGTGGCGCTGAGAGACTCCCTTTGCCTTGACAGCCTTGACCAAACCGGCCATGTCTACACTCCCTGGGGGAAATAAATAAAAGCAGAACTGAGGCTTCTGCTTCCCGGTTTACGTGGGTGTTCGGGGCTCCCCAGACCAGCCTGGGGTTCAGAGCACGGAGGAGCTGGCGGCCTGGGTTCTGTCGCAGCTCCTGCACTTGCGGAACGTGAGACGTTAGCGGCTGGCCTAGCCCGTTCCCATCTGTAAAATGGGGCAGTGACGGTGTCGGTCATGGTTTTCAGCAGGTGTGAGAGTTGAGATACTATCTAAAGGGGCTTGAAGCAGAGCCGGGTACAGAGTTGATACTCATTCAACATTTTATCTTGTTATTATTATTGTCTTTAACACTCCTGTTGTTGTTTCTATAAATTCCTCATCTTTTCCTTCTAAGGAGGGGGGTCATGTGGTCCTCGATGACCCACAATGCCCGCGATGCCCCCACATCTCATGTCTGGCAAGGTGCCACTCACAGATAGGCTTGCAGAGGGGGTTGGCTGCTCTGTTCTCCTCCGAGATGCAGAAAGACCCCCTCCTCCTGCACTTGTCCCCTGTCCCCCTTGCCCTGGTTCCGTCCTCACCTTGCCTGCAGGGGGTGCCGGCGGTCCCCGGGGCTGCAGGACGATCAGGTCCGGCCCAGCGGAGGTGTATGGCAGCTGAGCCCGGTAGCGGTGCAGAAGCGTGTTCAGGACACTCGACTCGTTGACACTGACCAGGGAAGCCAGGTCCTCAGCTTGGTCCAGCTCAGCGGGGTTGGCCTAGGAACCATCACAGAGTGTCCTGTGGCTTCTTACCCACCCCCCACCACCACCACACCCCTACACACACAGCCCTGCCCACCCTGTCCCTGGAGAGCCGTGTGCCAGAGACCAGAACAGAACACAGGGACTCTGGAGACAGAGTCACAAAACCCTACAATGAAACAGGGGCACCCCTCCTCCTTTGCCCTTGGTGCAGCCTGAGAGCCATCCCCCACAAACTCCCCGTTCACCCTGGTCCCTCCTTCCTGCGCTCACTGTACCGGGAGGGGAGATGCTCAGAAGAGAGACCCGGCAAGAGTCAGAGCATCCTCTGCATCTCAAACACGGCAAAAAGCGGGTGGTGTGCCCAAGTCAGGTAGCCCACTGGTATCTCCTGTCCGGAGCCTTTCGGGGAGCACTGCATGTGCTCTGTGACACTCAGGGACAGAGCCCAGTGGCCACACCACCCCACTTCTCTGAGCCCTTGGCAATATGCCCAGGCCCTTCTGGAAGCAAAGGATGATTGCAGCTTCTCCTGGGGGCAGCCGTTCCGAAAGGCTTCCTGCCATTCTTCCCAGCTTCGAGGAGTTTCCTGGGCCTGAGGCTCTGGGGTTTGAGCCAACCCTGAGCTCTCTTATGGGTCAGTGTTTCTCCTGAGAACACTGGCCCTCTGCTAGCTCCCAGCGCCACTGGGAATGGAGGCCTGGGCCGGGCGGAGGAGAGCAGAGAGAAATGAAGATGACCAAGGCCCACACAGGGCCCCTGGGGGAAACTCTTCCTGATTAGTAGGCTCGGAGGGTGGAAAAGATCAGGACAGGACCTTTTATTCTATCCTTTCTTTCTGATCTGCCCTCAAATAGATTGATGGTACACTGAAAAAACTATGCAAAACAGCTGAAAAAGTGAAACCCAAAGAATGATTAATGTCAAAATATATGCCATGATACCCTATGCTATGGCTAATGGCAAACGGCACATTTGGCTCTGAGTTCCCTGGCAGCCAGGGTGAAAAAGGAAACTGCTTTATAGCATGATTTCCAATGCCTAGGAAAAGAAAAGCAATCCCTTTCTTGGGTCGAGCAGAAGACCTCTTAGTCCTAAGACCTGACAAAGATGTTTCTTCATGTGTCTTCATAAAGGGGACACTAGGGGACAAAGTAATGACACCTAACAATATGCCTCCAGTAGAGCAATGAGTTCAGTGGTTGTTTTCCCTATAACTCCCTCCAGTGCATCAACCCAAAGCAGGAACTGCAGTCGGGTACAAGGACATTTCTAGCAGGATGAGGCGGGAGAGTGGGGAGCGGGCAGGGAGCAGGGCGGGGACTCACCCGGTGAACATGCTCCTCGTCCACCTCAGTGACGGTTTTGTCAGCATCGATGCAAAGTCGCACCCTTCCTGCCGGCAGGTCGGCTGTTCCCTCATCTGGTTTCAGCACCGTTGCTGGGGGACAGCCATGGGGAGAGCGGAGAGAAGAGGGAGGGAGGAGAGGCAGGCTCTGAGCCGGAGGCAGGCAGGGAGCTGGAGAGGGAGCCTGGGGCAGGTCAGGAAGGGACAGCCTCCTCTCCCCTTGGGGACTGTTCACACAGAGTTCTGAATTGGCCCTCAAGCCCTTTAAGGACACAGGCTGGGTTCGACTCACTTTGGACTCATCAGCTGGCACCGTGCCAGGCACAGAGTAGGCACCCAGATGGCTGGATGCACAATCTACCTCATACCTAGACCTGGGACGCCAAATAACGGCACACAGGCTGCCGTCCCCCTTGCAGTGCCCGTGACAGATGTCACTCATCACTCTTCCCGGCCACGTTCTGACTGGGACTCGGAATGGCGTCTCGGTGGAGTGTGGGCCCAGCTACCTGACATGAGTGGGCTCGTGAGATGAAAGCTATTTGCCCAAGTTCCCGAGAAACACTGTAGGAACCAACCAGGCTTGTGGCATCAATGAATTAGTTCGATAATTAATTACCAAGGCTCAAATGTCTTTGAAAACAGGACCCGGTAGACCAGCAGCCAAGAGTGAAATGTTGCTCAGACATTCCTGCCCCAAAGAGTCACAAATCTTCAGCCGAGTCCCAGGGGCCCCTTAACTCCTTCCCCTGCGCCCAGACCTCCAGCAGGGCCTGGCGAACGTGGCTAGAGCAGTAGGGGGCGCACGAGGAACCGACTGAGACCACTGCCCCCACCCCCAGATGTGCTAAAACCCCTAATTACCAAGAGTAAATCCATCCTTCTGAACCAGCCAGACTTTCTCTGCCTCGTACCATCTGTCCTCCGGAACCTGAGAGCAAATAAATTAAACCAAGAGGACACTGCCCTCTGCCCACGCCAACATCAGGGGTCAACTGAGTTCCTCACAGTGTGGTCTGGGACCACATAAATCAGACTCTACGGGGTGGGGGAGGGGTGCTTATTTAAATGCAGATGCATTGGCTCCACCCCTGGCCTTCTGAATGAAAGCTGGGGGGAGGGGGAGCTGGGACTCTGTATTTTCAGCAATTGGCTCTTTATGCAGCCCCAAGTCTGAGAACTACCATGCGGCATGGTCAAGTCAGCCAGGAGGGGACATCTCACATTCTTGGGACCCCCCTCTGGCTGTGGAGTATCTCACCCGGGACAGGGGCAGTGGGGGGCCCTGAGATCCTTCCTTGTCCAGGAGGAAGTGCTTGTCCCCTTCCTTCGAGCTGGCCCCTTGCCAATTCCCTGTCCATCTCCTGTCCCCGCCTCGTTCACCTCCAGGGGCAAGCCCTTCCCATCCCTCCTCGTCCGGAAGGTCCTACCTACCACCCCACACCGGGCTGCGCCCCTCACCTGGTCCAAGTCTCCACTCTGGCTGCCTTTGCTCCCCTCCTGCAGGGCTGGCCCCTCTCGGTTCTCCTGCATCTGAGGCCCCTCTGCGCGGCTCTCCAGAGCAGGTGCTTCGGGTCCTCCCAGCTCCGCGTCCAGGGCCTCGGCCCTGTCCTCCACGCTTCTGCAGGGCTCCTCCGCTTTCTGCCCTCTGCTGTCCGGCTGGCTCCCCTTCCCAGCTGCACGCACCTCCGTGGGGGCTGCACAGCCCTCCTCTGTCTCACTCCCAGCCTCACCTGCCCCCCCAGACTCACGGTGAGGCCCGTGCGTTTTCTCCATCACTCTGGGAGCCTCCCCCACCTTCCCCTGCACTTTGTCTACCTTCTCCGCCGTGATCTGCAATTTGTCTGTCTTCTCCGTCTTACTCGGAAGCGGACTTTCTTGGTCCTTCCTCTGGGGACCGTCCCACCTGCTCCTTCTGCCCAGGGAACCTCCCCACATTTTCCCCTGGATTTGAGCCCCAGCCAACTTCCCTTCACCCACTGCATCCTTAGAGAGATTCCCCTTTGCCACCTTCTTTGGGGGGTCCCCTCCCCCCTTTCCCACTGTCCCTGGTCGCCTCCCCTCACCTGGCCCCTCTATGCCCTGGGTCTCATCTCCTTTCAGCCCTTTGGTCTGGAGGGCCTCACCCCCTTTCTTTGCTGTGCCTTGATCTTTCTCGCCTTTTGTCAGTAGCACAGTTCCTGGGTCCCCAACACCCCTAGTCTGGGTCTTCTCAGCCTTCGGGGCTGCGTCCTCAGTGCTGGCCTGGGGACCTTGAGGTGTCGGTGGAGTGTCCCCCTTTTTCCCTCCTCCAGGATCTGTGACTGGGGATGGGGTCTTGCAGGTGGGGGCGTCATGGGACGGGGTCCTCTGCTCCGGCTTGGCTGACTCCGGGTCCAGCTTGGCCACCATCAGCAACACATCGCCCCTCCTCACACCCCTCTTGAAGGGCAGAGGTTTTTTGGCTGGAGCCCCACTGGGGCCCGATTCCTGGGGCTTCTTGCCACTGATGGTGGTCATCGGCACAGGCTCCGTGGTGCCGGTCCCCTGGCTCTCCTTGCCCGGAATGTTTGAGTTCTGGGGAGAGCCTGCCGGGCTGTCCTGGGAAACCGGTTGGCTTTCAGATTTGGTGCCAGTGTCGGACTTGCTGTGGGGTTGGCTAGTGGCAATTTCTGGATTCTAGGAGAGAGACCGCACCATCCTTAGCGGACTGCTTACCTAGCAGCTTTGTCATTCACTCATACACTCGCTCATTCATGCACTTATTTGTTCACCCAGCCATTTATTCATCCAAAGACCCTCAAGCACCTACGAGGTCTGATGGGCACTGTGCCAGGCCAAACCCCTGCACCCTGGACGTTGGCCCAGTGTCTCAAGGCCAAGTGACAGAGTGAAAAGAGAGTGGACTTTGAAATGCAACAGACTCAACTCCAAATTCAACTCCTGACTCTGCCATTCACTCGCTAGCTGTGTGGCCTTAGGTAAATTACTTCCCCTCTCTGGGCCTATTTCCCAACGAGGACCACATTGGCCTAGCTTGCAGATGGGCATGAGGATTCATGTCAATATACAGAAACTGAGCCCACCACATAGTAAGTCCTCAGTAACAGCAGCTGCCCCTGCTGCCGTTGTTATTGTTGTCATTGTTATTATTATTCTTATTTTTGCCTTGCTTCCTGCTGGGCCCGGAAGGGATCAGGCAAGGCCTGGGGCCTGGGGCCTGACGTCAGAGGACCTGTTGTTGTCTTGGTTCACACACGTTCCAGCTGGGTGACCATGAACATCATCACCCATCCCTCTGGGCTTGTCTTCCCTCAGGACAGGAGGAAACCATCTGCCCGTTCAGGTTTTTTGCAGGATGAGATGTGGAAAAGCCCTTTGGAAATCACAGAGAACCGAACACACTGAGCTGCTGCTACTCCGGCTGCCCTGGTCCCCGTACCCCACCACCCACATCCAGTGAGGGCCCGGCTCCTGGCCCTGAGGCCCTCCACCCTTACCTCACGTGGACATTGGGCTAGGTCACGGCCGTGGGGTCTCCACTGCTCCATGCCTCGTGGGGTCAGCCCTCCCCAGCCCTCCACCCTCAGCCAAGCTGGCGGTGACCTAAACTGCTCACAGGCCAGCGCTGCCTCCGTGGGCCGTTCCACCTCAGATCCGGCTTCGTCCATCTGGAACCGTGCTAATGCCAGCCTCCCACACAACGGAGCCTGGGAACCGAGGGTTCTCGCCCTCCTCCTGCAGCGGAACCAGGCCCGGGATCGTGCTGGTTCCACCCTGCAAAGCTTCACACTGGTGTCTCCCGCCCCATAGCCAGGGCTATTTCCAGAGCCTCTGAACTGGTGTGCCTTCAGTTTGCTGCCAGTCACCTCAAGCCCCGTCAAACGATGTTGGCAGCTGCCCACAAGTCTACCGGGAAATCATTCAACAGCACCATCTTCCATTTAAAGTCCTCAACCAGGAGCCCCCACCTCCATTCTGGTTCCTTTGTCCCTGTTTATCCCCATGGTTCGGCCACACCAGGCACCTCCTGCCACACCAGATGGGTCCCTGCTTCCAGGTTCACGAGGAGCCTGCTGCCTGGAATACCCTTTCCCCTCCTCGCTCACCCGTGTTCTTCTCGTCTTTCTATACCCAGCTCAAATGCCACCACCTCTGCAAATCTTCCCCTGGAGACCTCAATCAGAAATTGTCTCAGATGTCTATGAAGTCCCTGAGCGCGGTGCTGGCTCACCATCTAGCAAGGACCTCGCTGTGCATCCCATCAGCTTTGTGTCTCTCTCCTGTTTCAGGAGGAGGAGGTCTCTACCTTCACCTTCGTAAACATGCCAATAGTCGTGATAACAATCGCTGTCATAGATCCCTTGCAATGAGCCCTACCTTGCCATTGTGCAACATCCTACTTAACCCTCATAAGAACACAATGAAGGGGGTTCTGAACGTCTCCCCATTCTACAGATAAGGAAGCAACTATGGAGATGGTAGGCGGCCCAAGAGACAAAGCCAGAATGTTAAGCCAACAGGGCCTCTGGAGACTGGAGCCAGTGCCTGTAACTTCTGCATGTGAATGGCCTCACTTGTCTCTCTAGGGCTTCGTGGAATCTTCCGGGAGATTTAAAACATACTGATGCTTGGGCCCCACTCCCAGAGAACCTGATGTAGCTGGTCTGGGTTGTGGTCTCCCCGGGTGATTCCAACCTGCCCCCAGAAATAAGAACCCCCCACTCTAATGCCCAGGGCCGAGCGGCTGGGCCTGACCTTCTGGAGACAGGCAGGACGCTGCCTTGGAAAGGGGATTGGCTGCAGCTGGCAGATCTCGCCACTGTCTACACCAGCCTGAAAGTGAGTCAGTGCCTTATTTTTAACCAAACCACCATGGGGGAGACTAACGTGGAGAGGGGCCAAGGAAGATAACCAATCCTGTCCACCCTCCCCTCACCGCCCCGCCCCCAAAGGAAGAGAGTCCATGGGACGGGGGAGCAAAGCTCGGATTGGTTACCTTTCCAAAGCCCTCAGCCCTCAGCCCTCTGCAGCTTTCTTAGTACATAGGAGAAGCAGCACCTCTGGCATCACTGGGGCCAAAGGAAACTCACAGCACATCCATTTTACAGATGAGCAAACCGAGGCCAAGGGAAGGGAAGGGATTTGGTGAGGCCAGAGCTGGAACCCACTTCTCCTGACACGCAATAAGGGTCTCCCCTCCTTCACTGGCTGGGTGGCCCTTGGAAAACCAAGCCACCTCCCTGAGCTTCATTTTCCATCCCTGCAGAATGGTGATGGATTCTAATGAGGGCCAAGTAAAACAGCTGTGCTCAGAGGAGGAGCATGTCCGGAGTTATTTACTGATTGGACAAGAAAACTGCATTGGCAGGAACTGGCCACGGCCTGCAGCCTCGCGAAGGCATGTCCTGAGGCTGCCCGCTCCAGGCCTGGAGCATCTTGGCCCATGGTCCAGGCACCTGTTGTGGTCTGAGGCCTGTCCATCCTGCATCTCGGCTCTGAGTCTCCACCCAGGCCCAGCGGTGACGGTCTGGCCCCAGCCTCTGCTCAGCTCTGCTTCTTCACGTGTGCACAGTGACGCCAGCACTGCCTGCAGCTTCGTGGAACCCTTTACCCTCTCAGGCCTCTGTGACCCACACCAGCCCCCTCAATCCCCAAATGGACCCTTCCCCCAGGCAGCTCACCAGAGCAGAGAACACACAGACTCCCACCCTGACTCTATCTGGCCCCATGACCTTGAACAAGTCTCTTGACCTCTCTGAGCCTCAGTCTCCACCTCTGATAAGTGGGTATAATCCCATTACCCCAATACTGCACAGGGTTTTAACTAAACCCTTGAACAGCAAAGTGAACATTGTGTAGTCATAAATGGCACACGGTAACATTTCATCATGACCTAACAACAGCCTGCGGGGGTCGACTTTGTCTCCCACTCATGCCTGGGTCAGGCAGGGTGGGGACAGAGCCAGTTCTCCTGTCACCCTCCCCCACAAAGACTTGGCAGGAGTATTTCAGCAGTTGCTGCTGTTCAGCTGCCGGAGGACTTCTCTGATGCAGCCAAGTCATTGTCATTGGACAGGTGTAGGCACGTGGGGGCCAGCCGAGCAAACAACAGCTGAAGGGGGGTGGGAGCTAAGCCAGGGTGGCCCCTGGGCTCAAGCCAACACTAGGTCCTGAGGCTACCAGATTCCTCAGCCTAAACATGGCACCATTCACCCCAATTCGGGGGGAGGGGGCACTGGAGATACATGAGGAAATCACCCCCCCCCTTTTTTTTCCCTAACACAGATGGACTATTTCCAGAGATATACTATTTGAGCTGGGTTTTGAAGGATGCATAGGAGCACAATAGCTCAAGCTGAAAAAAAGAACATTCCTCTAGGCGTGCTGAGCTCTAAGCCTACCTCCCTGGTGTCTAGACCCATCATCCTGTCCAGGTTCCCTGGCTAAGGAGCTGGGGAAAAGGAGGGAGACAGCATTGACCACCCTCAGGAATACATTTTCAAGTCCTGAAGAATAGGTAGTACACCTTGGCCAACTATTGCTTCAGTCCAGCCGTGCTATTCAGAATGGTTATGAATTTTTAGTGGACATCAACCAATCAGAAGGGAAGCCAGCTGGAGCAGGGTACTGAAGTCCTCACCTGTGCCAAGCACTAGCCCTTTCATTATTGGACTGTGGCCACTCCGAGGGCCTGAGAGAAGAGGCCTGGGTAAGCGTAGCAGCTGGAGGGTTCTTGGGAGGCGTGGGGCCATGGTTGGTTACCCCCTGATATGGATGGGTTTCAATATTTTAACAATCAGCCTGGCTATCATCAGTGAATACCAGCTGAGTATCTTTCCTGCCTAAATTAAATTGCACTAACTATACATCCTTAGCTAACATCTAGGTTTCTCTTCCTGCAAAAGCGAGATAAAATGATGCCCACAATCATCATCGACTAATACCATTCATTCATTCATTCATTCATTCAACAGACATGTGCTGAGCACTCACTATGGTCCAAGTACTACGAGAGCTGCTCAAGATACAAAGTTGAATGAGAGAGACAGTTGTAGCTCTTAGGGAATTCCTAGTCAAGTAAGTCACACGGTCAAGTAATCACCACGCCAACCACAACGAGGACAGGCATTGAGGGTGCACTGGGAGTGAGAGGAAGGAAGGCAATGGGGGAGCTTTCCGGGGAGGCACTATTCACGCTGGGTTTTGAAGGATGCAAAGGAGTTCAACAGATCAAACTAAACACAGAGGGAAAAAGTGGGGACAGCAGGCGCACAGGTGAGATGGCAAGTGACTCAGAGGAGGCTCGCGGGACAGGACAGGCATCGGCAGGCACCGGGCCCCCTCCTGCAGAGCCACTCACCACTTGCTCTGGCGAGGCGAGCGCTGCCTGTTGCTTCCGTCTTGCTTCCTTGGACTCTTTCTCGGTCTCCCGGACCAGCTGCTTAATGAAGCCGCCTGGGATGACGGAGAAAATGGGAGGGGGCGAGGATGGTGGAGGGCTCTTGTCCTCCTCCCGAATCTGTTTTGCGGAAGAAAGGAAAGAGCTCAGTGAGTGAACCAACAGAGGCAAATTGCCCTTGAAAAAGTTTGCCAAGAGCCTGGGAGGGGGCTGAGGAAGATATACAGGAGCGAGCCCATGTATGAGCCTGGGAGGGGGCTGAGGAAGATGTACAGGAGCGAGCCCATGTATGAGCCTGGGAGGGGGCTGAGGAAGATGTACACGAGCGAGCCCACGTACGACAGGGTCTGGCAAAGCGGGTGAGTTTGGCGGGGCTCTGGGAGGCGGAGACCACGCATGGACATGGAATGCGTGAGCGGCAGAGGCTACTCCAGCCAATGTGATTTCTGCCTGGACAGAGTTTCCTCATGAGATGAATCTGGACCATCTGGGTCACTGGTTGCCTTCCTTGGTGTAGGACAGACCCATGTCTAAAAGGACCTGTCCAAAAGGAGCTTGGCCAGTTTCCAGAAGGGGCTGGCTCACAGGGAACCATCCAGTTTGTACTTGACATAACAGGTTAATCAATGAATTAATCACGTGACCACTTACTGTGTGCCAGGAACACAGTAAAGTAGGGAAGGGCCTGCAGCCATGATTTACACAAGGGTCCAACCCTATGACTACAGTCCCCTCCACTGACCCAGTGCTGTGGCTTCTTAAGGGTCCTTAAACAAGGCCCTGGCAGCCGGGGGCCCCCAACATTGGGCCCTAAAGCTGGCAGGCTGGACACCAGCATTTTACCCCAGAAACATGGCCCAGGCCAGAGCCGACTAGAGTTGGGGTGCAGCTAAGACCGCTTTCTTGGCCACAGCAACCTTGGGGGCTGAGGCATGGGGCTGGCTGCACCCCCGGGCTGTGTCTTTAGGCAGACAGCTCATGAGAAAAAATCCCCAGCGCTTTCTATGGAAGAGCCGCACAGTGGTTTAAAATAAGCTCCTCGTCGAGGTCCTGTGTGCGCTGACAAGGACCTGAGCTCTGCAGCCCAGCTGATAAAGAGACTCCCAAGAAGATAAGGCCAGGAGACTAAGCAGAGGCCACGGGGTAAGTGGGTGGACACAGACCTCTACCCAGTCAGAGGGAGGCAGGCACAGGAAGGCTGGGTGCACGGTTACACCGCACCCTCCCTCTCCGTGCTGCTGAAACCCACGTGAGTGAGTGATTCTCAAGCCGCACTCAGCTGGTGTAAGGTCTGCTTCCTTCATTGTCTCAATGCTACACGTGGGTGGGCCAGGAAGGGCAGCAGCCGCAGCCTGAAAGGGGCTTCTGATCACCCCACCCTTCAGCCTCCAATTCATCGGCCTAAGCATGAGGATGGGGTGAGGGGTGGAGGACATAACAGGCATCAGAGAGAGAGGCAGCCCTGCAGGGTATCTCTTGTGAAATGCAAAAGAGAAATGAGAAATAACCGGGAAGAAGGGTCTTTTCCAGCTTTCCATGGTGACAGAAGGCAGGGACCAGAGACACCCATCCCCATGGCATAAGCTTGGCATCTCAAAGCTCTGACTCTGCCCCACCACCCACACTCTTCCTCCCACACCAACCACTGTGCTCATTGAAACTGCCATGACAATGGAGATGGGACAGCTGGTCTACCCTCATTCCCCACCGCCAACTGAAGAACAGGAGAGAGGGGCCGTCATGGCTGCGGTCAAGGGCGTGGTCACTAAAGACCCGCTGGGGTGGACAGGCCAAGGCTAACCCAACTGGCTGGGAGAAGATGGAAGGTAGGATTGGATGTGCTTCAGGGAGGCACTGGATGTCAGACACTCTGCCCGGGGTGGGAGGGGCAGCCTGGGCCACCCAGGCTGTGACTTGTCCTGCAGCTGCAGCCGGAGCCCCGAGCGTTACTTTCCTTCTGCTCCCACATGGCGAGGCGTGATGAGATGGCCATGCTGACACAGTGCGGGGCCACTCGAGATGATGAGATGAGATGGGATGAGATGGGATGAGATGAGATGAGATGGCCCTCTCTGGCAGAAAGCACGGAATGAGGCCACAGACACACAGCACGTGAGGTGGATGGACACAAGACAGAGACAGGGAGACATGGTGGGGGAGAGAAGAGAAAGACAGGTTAGCTCACAGACACGGTCCCACTCCTGCCCCCACCAACGCCGAGAACCAAGAGCACACAGCCAGGCACAGCCCGGTCAGGTACACCTGAGCAGGGTGTGGTCAGGTGAGGCTGCTGGTTCCGAAGTGGACAGCGCCCTGAAGTCCTGTCCCTCGACCCCACGCCGAAATGCAGCGCTCACCCCACCCTGAAATGTAGGGCTCACCCCACCCTGAAATGTAGGGCTCACCCCGTGCCAAAATGTAGGGCTCACCTTGCCCCGAAATGTAGTGCCGAAATGTAGTGCACAATCAGAAAAGTACACAATCCTAAGCGTAAAGCTCAGCAACTCTCCCATAAAGAACACACCTCTACCACCAGCCTCCTGATCAAATTACAACTATTTAAAATAAAAAACATTTGATGTTACACTATACTCAATTAAATTCAAAATAATCATTTTAATTGAGAGAGAAAAACTTTAAATAAATTTTAAAACAGAAATCGTTTTCATCTAAACTGTTAAAAAAGTAAATTTTAAGCTAATAAAATGTAATTGATAATATTTTATTTAGAAGACGTTCAAGAACCGGCAAATCTAATCGACCCGGGAGATGGAGCTCAGAAGGTGTTAGCTGTGGGCTGGGAGGGGCACCCAGGGGATTCCTGGGGGGACAGAAATGTCTTACATCTCAGTCTGGGTGATGGCTACACAAGTATATCACGTGTAAATATTCATCTGCCTGCACAAGGAAGATCGAATATTTAACTGTATGGAAATCATATCTCAGTTCAAGAAGCGAACAGACCATTACCCGCGCCCTTGGCCCTCCCCATCCCCTCTTCTAGTTGGTACTTTCCAAGGGCAACCACACCCTGACTTCTAATATCATAAAGGAGCGCTTTTTCCTTTTGTGATGGAGCCTTGGGCTCCACCATCTGACGGAGCAAACCGGGGGAGGGCAGGAAACCAAGGCAATTCATCGACCCCGCACGTGGGGGGGCAACTTAGGTTACTTAGCATCTTGTTGAGAGCGTTAATAAATATTCATGACTTTTAGCCTAAAAAGCCCTCTTCTGAAAACAAGTTTGAGGAAGTAATCCTAAACCAGAAAATTTCATCACTGTCTTGACTGTAGCACAAAAAAGAAAAAGAAAAAAAAAGACACAAGCCAAGTGTTCCACAAATAGAGAATGTCAAATAAACCAAAGCCCGTAAAACTTGAAGGACTATTATGAATTCATTAAAAAGGGTATTTAGTAAACATTTTAAAACAGCTCTGTTGCCCTGGCGGGTTTGGCTCAGCGGTTAGAGGGGCGGCCTGCAGTCCAGAGAGACCCGGGTTCGGTTCCCGCTAAGGGAACATACCTCGGTTGCTGTTTGTCCCCGGCCCTGGTTGGGTCGTGTGGGTGGCAGCCACTGGATGTGTCCCTTTCACATTGATGTTTCTTTCTCTCTCTCCCTCCCACTCTATCTGAACAAAAAAAAGGAAAAACGTCCTCGGGTGAGGATAGAAAAAAATAAAACAGCTCTGTTGAGGTATAATTTCTATGCCAGCCATACAATGCGCCCATTGTAAGTACGTATACAATTTGATGATTTTTGATAAATTTACATATTTTTGTAACCATCCCCACAATCCCATCAACCCCCAGTCCCTTGCGGTTCCACCCTCAGCCCCAGGCACCCCCTCAGCTACTGTCTGCTGCCATAGTTCGCCTTTTCGGGCTGTTTGCTATACATGGGATTTGAAAGTGCATCTGGCTTCTTTCACTTTGCGTCACGTTTTTGAGGTTCGCCCACATTATTGTACATGTCAGTGCTTCACGCCTCTCTGTTTGCTAAACAGCGTTCCATCGTCTGAATGGGCCACGCGTCCGGACATCCATTCACCGACTGATGGACATGTGGGTTGTTTCCAATTTGGGGCCATCATGAATGACATTGCTATGAACAGTCACGGACATCTTGGCGCCCCCATCTGCTCCCGTTTCTCCTAGGCTGACCCCTCGGAGGGGCATGGCTGGGTGGGGTGGCAACATTATGTTCGACTTGCTGAGAAGTGGGCCAGCGGTTTTCCAAGGCGTCTGTGCCATCACCCGTCAGACCTGCAGTGCAGGAGGCTTGCAGGAGCACCTGCAGCGACACGGGAGGGGCCCGTGTCGGCTTGTCCCTTGAAGAAGAGCACAGTGCAATATTGCACACACCAAAACTACCCAAAATGGGCAAACGACACTGCACATAGAAGATGGAGAGTGGAAGGAACTATACCAAGACCTTGGAATGAGTCTCTTTCCTCTCCCTCCTAGCTCAGAAGGCACTAGCCCACTCCTGGAAGATGCCGCCCATCCCCAGCTGTCAGAGCCACCATCATCCAAGCGCTTTTGAAGGTTTGTTGGCCCATGAGTCACCACTTTCAGTGACTTGTGCATAAGAAGATGCCTTGGGCAGCGATCAAGGTGATCTCTCCTTACACAGAATCAGCAGCCCATCCTGGAAGCTGGTGGGAGGGACCTGGTGGGGCCTGTGGCTTTGCTGACGCCAGTTCTCATCTCGCGAGACTCACCTGGTGCAGCTCCTTCCAACTCTACCTTGGGCGCTGTCACTAGTAGCTTATAATCAGCCCTGGGAGTGTTTGTGCCTCCGAAATGGGCAAATACTACAGATCAGGGTTTTTATTCAAGGAGCTGGCTGTTAAATATTTACCAGGACAACACTGGCTACAGGGCCTGGGGGGGGGGGGGGGGGGCAGGGATCTCAAGATCCAAAGATCCAAGAAAGGACATTTCAGCTATGATGGGTCCACATGCCCACGAAGAGACCCTGGGAGAGTGTCCAAGTGCAAACAGCAACACCTTTGGCTTAGGAAAAAGCCCCCACAGCCCTGGCCGGTTAGGCTCAGCAGTTGGAACGTCAGCCTGTGGACCAGAGAGACTCGGGGTAGATTCCAGCCAAGGGCACGTA